ATGTTGTCACATCCCCATCAGTTCACTCGCAGTAGATGGTTGAATCGAATCGTGCTTCAAAAAGCTCTTGTTAATTACGATCGATTAAGGATCACCTCGATCAGCTCCAATCAGCTCCGATCCCCCAATCCAATAATGAAAACTCCCACCATCGCCATCCGAGACCTTCCCGTCCATAAAACTATCTTCATGTTCCATATGTGTACATAAAGTCCATCCAAAAAACCAGTTCGAAATCACGCAGAAATCTGTTGTTTAGATAGAAAAGCCCAAAATTCAAATGCCGTGTTCATTGACGTCGTCTATATATCATTACTCTCTTACCCCATTATTCTCATAGACCCGTGCAATGGAATTCACCTAAAAATACAGCGAAACCAGGTGCTAATTGGACACCCCAACCAATGGCGGCTACTACTGGTGCTGGCTATCGTCCAATGGTGAGTTTTGCCTTCTCTAACTCTACTCTCTACTGTCTACCGAACTACAATACTCAAAAACAACCAAATACAACTCGAAAGAATCTGATAAAAGAAGCCTAACTCTACGTTGCCTCGAAATTGTTCGATTTTAACGAGAGACCAAACAAATAATTCGAATACACTAGAAGTCGTGCCGAAGCAGACAAAACAAAAGCAGAGAAAATGTTGCCAGAAAAGAAACACCTACACTTTTTTTACTTATGTATATGCATTGTTTATCCTTTCATTTCTTAAGACTTTGTGTCACCCAACACTGTAGGCTACACTTCATGTACAGTACTCTTTTTACTTTATTTAATGTTCCCTTTCAAAATTAATGTTTATTTATAAATTGCACAATCAATATAGATTTACAACTTCAGCTACTTGGTTATCTTGATTTACAGTATGTCCTTGATATGTCTGAACATTTCCTCAGCTTGCTTACAGTTTTCTTGATAAGATTGAAAGTAAATAAGTATACTTTGTATTCGATCATTGTCGCAGTCCCTTAAAATTCTAAATGTTGTTCGTTACTTTATTATTGTGATTTGAAAGACCAAAATCAAAGGGCTGACCAAGTCTTTGCGGGTTGTAAGTTATGTCATTATTTTGTATACTCCCACCGACTACAAGATCACAGCAAACCGCACTAGAACACAAGCACTAGGGCTAAGTTTAGTGGCACATCTTGGCGATCAAGGTCTAAGGGTGAATAACAACGCTGGGTTTACTTTACACACAGAACACATTCAGTGCAAAAACGACAAATCACATGTTTCCATTTTATATTTTTAATTTATTATTGTTTTGTTTTTAGTTTGCATTTAACCGAAGTATATATAAACTATCAACTACTTTCTTTTCTTTATTTTATGTTTGCTTTATATCTCAACTATCCCAACGCATACCGCAAATCGAAAATCGTTAACCGAATCAATTCAAATTGAATCACAACTAAATATATATTGAAACCAATCAAACAAACAACAACAAACGAATCACGTATGACAACTACTCACGCTGCGCCTGTGTTAATGCTGTCTGTGTGTGTATGTGTGTTTGTGATAATCAATATATATTCTATCAATATGCCAATATATATATCAATATGCAATACGTAGGCACATGGCATGACCGTAAGTCCTGCGCCAATCACAATCAATCATCCGTATATACATGCTAGTTATCCTGTAATGCCAAATTATATGCAGGTAAGATGATGCTGAAACCAACGAAATAAACAAAAACATTACAAATTTTAAAAACAGAATGAAGTGTTATCATTTTGAATTTGACCTAAGTTGCCGTTCTTTCCAACATCTCTCTTGTGTTTAAAATTCTTTAGTTTCTTTTTATTTGTACAAACCTTCTGTTTCCATTGCGTTAACCAATCGAAAGTCTATCATCTGCAGCACTAACGTATAATGCGACCTATACGCCAGTAAAAGTCTTTCCCAATTTCTATGAAAACCGACATATATCCTTTTCTTTTTTGGTTACCGACCACGAGCGCGTGTTTAATCTGTCCCTCCTCTCTGGTTCTCGTCTCTGAACTAAATTATAATCTTGCACTTTTATCAATTAACTACTTGTTTTAATTTTGTAAAAGTTATTCTTTAGTAGGCATTAAGTTATTAAGTGAGTTCCTGTATCACTTGTCTGTAGACTTCACTTCCTTACGTATGATTCCAAGTAGCGACTGTTTCCCAAGCTCACACGGTTGCCTTTCCTTTAAAGCCCAACCAACCGAGAACTATTCTCCCGCCACTGATTTCGTAGCATTGCGTCTGTCATAGCAGTTAATAAGTATTGCCCCCTTTCCAGTGCATGAATTTCAATTGAACAGACATTGTGCTCACGGATTTAACGATGATTTTAACGACTCTTGTAGGGAATGCCGGCGATGGGCCAGCCAAGTATGATGGGGCAGGCAGCAGCCCCTTTGACTGGGGTGCCACCGACGATGATGGCGGCGCCGCACAGTAATGCGACGGGCATTATGCAACCCATCCAGCCAACGCAGAATGGCGGCAATAAAGGCGTCCCTCTCGACCCATTTGGTGCGTTATAAGCGGTCCCCAAGGAGCTCATGCGTGCAACACCCACTCACTCACTCAGTCAGTCTAAGCGCTCTAACCTCATTAACAGCAAACATCAGACCCCACTCACAGACACAAATGCGTAATAAAAAATATTAAAGAAAACAATTATATATATACACATGCATGTGCAAGTGGAAATTAAGAACTTGAAATTGCAACATATAACAAATGTTTACACTATGCTACAGAAACAATATATAAAGTTTATGGAAACAGCAGCAGCAGTAAAGGCAAACACAAACAAAACAGATGCAGATAAGAAAATTATATTATAATGTTGAACATTGAGCAAACACGAAAACAAATGCTATATACATACATATATATATATATTTATATTATTACTATTTAAATGAAAAACAAATAAGTTTGACTATTTATATGTATACACCAATTTATATACTATGCTAAAACGAAAAAGGAAAGCGAAAACGAAAACGAAAAGTTTCCATAAATAGCTAAAGGAAAGTAACCTATGTGAAATATACCTATGAACTCTAAGATAAGTCTATACAAAACCTGTAGTTGTGTCCTACGCCAATCACTAAACACACACGTTGAATTATCTAGTGGAACTATGTTAACTGTCTCAAAGGAAGATCAGAGGAAAATGAAAGATATATCTGATTCAGAGATGATATTTTCCAACACGGTCCAAGTGCTTGCACAGCTTAACGTAATAATTTGCAATATTTTAATCCGTCTATCAATGTTTTTCTGTTATTTTTAGCCAAATCAGGTGGCTAAATAGCTATTATATGTTTTAAATTGTTATTAAGCAAATTATGATTTGTTAAATGAAAAATATTTGTAAATGCATTCCAAACTAGCTTCAATTTTGTCCAAATTTAATTTGAGAAGGAAAAAACATTTGTAATTATTAAGTGTTATTTAAAAACGAATTCTAGCAACGCTGGTGTAAAATGTGTTGATAGTATGTTTAAATTCTAGAAAAACCGCAACGTTTATTTAATATGTGTTATACTTTAGAGCGTACGTTGTATTAGACATTTATTTAATGGCTGCTGAGCATTCGATACGAAACTGACATCACATCAGTTGTTCATTTCAAGAATGTGTATATAAAGCATGAGACGTGTATGTAGAAATTTCCTACAGCCCAACACGCTGAACTATGTTTAAATAAAATTTATATAAATTATACAACATTTTACTTATGTTTATTTTCTTATTTTGTGCAGCACTGGAATTTAATTGCCAAAATTGATCAAGTTAATTGACTTCCAAATCATTTGTCAACTCCAACCCACCACCTCTTTTAAGTGCGTAATTTTTTCATGGTTCAAAGGTTTCTTCAACCAGCTTCACATCCAATCGCTTTTAATTCTGTCGCTTATCAACTTCCAATAGTGGGAATCACTCAGACCAGGTTTTTATTTTCTTCAAAATTATATGGCAGTAACTTAAGAATCCCTTGAAAATAATCACGTAAGCAGAAAAGTATGCTATATTTTTGCACCAGTCAAATTGCAACTTCATTGCTCACAGAAGAAGGCAACAATTTAGCGAAGAATTCAAATAGGAAGGTTGACCAGGACCTGCGATTTATGCATCTCCTTGAATTGGATTGGTGGGTCAACTCTCGTAGGCAGAAAAAAAGAAAACAAAAACGCAACGCAATAATCGTTAGAAGCAAACAATCATGTGTGGAATTTTCATTAAAGCTAAAGCTAATGTAAACGAAAAAGCCACAAACCCGAATCAATGTAAATTTAGCTAAATTATACACTCAAAAATGACAAAAAAATGTTTTATGACAATATTTATACGCTGGTGTTTGAGCTAAACTATACTCATACTTAGGACTAACTAACTTAAAACTACAATTGCTGTCTAAACAGAGCATGCGTCTAGAACCTGCAGAACTTAAATTATTAGCAAATTGCGACCACTTGTTGATGTTTCGAATGAAATTTAGTAAAAAATCGCTAGAGAGTAAGCTAAATTTGGCCGAGAACTTTTAATGAAACACGCTTAGAGGGTTGGCTTACCGAATCGAAATGTATCTTGTAGATATCCATAGATCGTGCAATACAGAGTATCTACAACTAAGAACTTCTTATGTTTGAATCAAAATGTTACTGTGTTTCTATTAGTTCGTGTATTCTCTCTTAAAGAATTATATTTAAAATAAATACGAACACCAAGAAATTAAGAAATATTCGTCACGATGAATTCTTACAATTCAATTCGATCCAATCTCATGGAAATGCAAACTATTTCGGTATGTATAAGCACACATTCGCATACAAATAGGAGTAAAACATATTGTGTATTATTATAAATTATGTTGAAAACAAGCCCAACTCCGAAAAACAAAAAAGAAATGAAATGTTAGTGCAAAATAAATGTGTAAAATAAATGTTTTGATTTCGTTTTAATTCTGAGTGGGCGGATATCATAGTGTCAAATATAAATTTTCAACTGAGAAACGCAAACCCAGCAAACTTAGTCGATAAACAAATAAACCAAGAGATCCCAAAGATACAGATACATTCACCATGCCGCCATGCACTTTGCGCCAGAGAGGTATGGCCTACATACCACGACGTGAAAAGAATCGCGAAAAGGATGTTCTGGCCCCAAAGCCCGTGCATCCGCGCTCCTTGCGCTTCCATGGATTCTTCGGCATGTCCTATGTCCACCAGCATGTGATGGTCGACGAGCGGTGGACCCCCAACTCGCTTACTGAACAGTTCAAGGGAATGACCGATCTATTGAGTACGTTTTCTATGGGAAAAGACTTTATTTGTATCTAATTACTGTTCGTATTGATTAGCTCGTCGCTTGGTGTTTAAGAATCACGAGTCAAAGGCCAATCGCCAGCGGTATTTTCGCGAGAACAAGCGTCTAAAGCTGCAATGTCGCGATGGCCGGGCCAAGTTGCAGAACATTCTGGTCAACGACAACACGCACAAGATCCGCAACTTCCTCATCAACCACAAGGACATGCAGCGCCTCTACCAGAAGATGCCAATTCACCTGGTAGTGGACAACATTAATCAGCGGACCTTTGTGATGAGAAAGGAGCGAGATCGGTTGGAGTTTCGCTTGGACCAGTTAAAACAGCACTACAAAGAACAGCTGGTCAGTAAAAATGTGTTTTACAAACTTAATTTTATAAACTTAAATTCCCCATTCGTATCATCATCATCATAAAAAATATCCGACACAATTAAACAAAATTAAAAGCAATTTCCAAAAAAATCCACAATTATAGGTAATGTTTTTAAAGTGATGATTCTAAAAATGCTTTATATTGTATTTCTTAATCTTAAAGAATTTTCGGTCCATTGAAAACCATTGACAAAATTTCGCAAATATTCTCCTTAGCTGCGACGGGCACTTCTTCAAAACCGCATCAAGTATCAGAACGAGTTTATCCTCGATGAGGAACTGAAATCTCGAGTTTTCCTCAAGAAGATCGAAAACTCGAACGTGCGTTTGAAAGCGATCAAGACCATCAACAACACCTACAAGAAGATGATTCAGGTGCTGGTCCACGACGAGATCTTCTACGAACCCATCCTGCGATCCCTCAGCAGTGACATGGACGACCAGACGAACTTCATCAAACACATCCTTTTCCTGGGAATGCCTGCCATTGCGAAGTTCAAGGAATTGAACGACGAGTTCAGGCACATGGAGGAGAAGTCGCGCAAGAACTTGCAGCTGAAACTGCAAATGCTGGCCTCTCTTAAGAAGCCGGCTGCCACATCGATCGTTAACTTTAACAAGCCCAAGGAGGCGCCTCCCACCACGAATCTGAAGCGTTATGTTCGAGAGACCCAGAGCATGATGATCCTAAAACTGGAGCTGAAGGCTGTTGAGAAAACCATCAAAGAGGTCAAATTTGTGACACTGTGTTCCCAGGCAAAGGAAATCTACCCACGGTTCGGTTTTTATTTCGACTGCTTTCCTCACAAATAATTTACATTTGGGTCACAGAATGAAGAGCCAGGTGGATAACAATGACAAACTGCATCGAATGATTGTGAACGACATGTTGGCCCACGAAATGCTGGAAACCAAGATGAAGTGTGCCAGCGTTTTGAAGGGAGTGCTGGTCAACAATCTGTCAGAGGAAGAGATCAAGTAAGTAATAAATATAACACTTTAAAGCTTTATTAATAGCTATGATTTTATTTAAGTCGCCTGGAGCGCATTAAGGATTTAAAGAAAACACTGCAAAAAGATATAGAATTCGAGAAGGACACTTTAACTCACCTTAAGAACAGAGCTGATGCTTATGTCATGTTGAGGTAACTGATATTTCTTGGCCTGCATATTTTCTTATATACTAGATAGCGCCTTTTCCATTTCAGAGTAAGCATTTGGAATCTCTTGGAAATTCTTCGTCATGTTGATCGCCAGCCCAAACTTCTACGTGCCCAGTATCCCAATTCATACTTGAAGCTTCCCCTGCTCAAATTCGAAATGCTGAACATGCGGGCGGCTGCCCCCGAGATTTTCGAGGAGAACAGTTGAGTCGGCAGTCCACACTCAACCAGACTTAATAAATCTAGCAATCTCGTCCCGCAGTTGACAACATAATGCACATGGTGAAGCGCAAGATTTACAAGCTAATGAAGGCCTATTCGGTTGAACTGAAACCGGCGACAGTGAGACGAAATGTGGAGGAATACCACGCAGACTTCTTGGCCAGCCTGGACATGTACGAGCCGGTGGACACCGAGGAGCAGCCGCCAACAGCTCCGGAGGAGGATATCATGCAGGAGAACAAGACCATGGCCAATGTGCCCAACCGCAAACAGATCAAGGCCCAAAGTGCCAAGCTCGTGGAAGAGTTGGCCAAGCGGGATGAAATGTAAAAACGTTTAGTTCGCCGTTTGTGTTTAATGCTACCTAAAATTTTAAGTGAGTTAAATTCTGAAAGTTGAGAAAACAATTCAAGCTGGCCACAAGAAACAGTGGCTAACAAAAAAATAATAAATCGTGAGTTTTGCGTTGGCGAAATCCCGAAAATGGAAGAGACTGCCTCCATATAATTGATCCATTATTGCAGCAAACGTTGCTTACTTTGCTGGGAGCTTGGATTGAATCGAGTCGGTTTTCCTCCACTTTGGCTTTTGTCGACGCCCTAATTGCGAGGAAGAATTATTGTTCCATTGCCCCATCTTATAATTTGGGAGTTTTCCCAGTTTGATTTGTGGGTTGTGCAAGGTGTGAATGGTCGAGGGTCGATGGTAGATAAACCTTCGCTTTTGAGTAAGATGCGGACAGCCTTCTATAGATTAATCCGCATTCGTTGGGCACAATTTCGGACGGTCTCCGAATGCATCAATAGAGCCATTAATCATTTCCTGGCCACTCCACACTCCACAGCGATTTCCTGTCAAGTCTATTGCCCAAAAAGGTCAGTGGTTGTCATAAAAGTTTACTCGCTCAACCGTCGACGGATGGAATCATCCATCGGCCGATCTGAAGTTGACGGGATGGTTTGGATGGGTTATGGGCTGTATTTTTTCCATTTTAGAGGAGTGCACACGCTTCCATTCCATTCCCAATCCCAATCCCCAGTACACTTGCCAACTGCCTTCCTATCTGTATGCGCGGTTATATCTGAGTACACGATATCACGCCGACTTAAAAAATAAATAACTGGCACGGGAGCACGCGAGCCCATAAGCCGCCAAATGAGGTTATGCAAGTCTCACATTATTCGCGGGCCACCATGTTTATTCATATCCATACACTCGAACACACTCACGTTTGCCCCGATGCGGTTATTGTCATTGTTCCCACACAAAAAGTCCGACAAATTGGTCGCTGGAAGTGTTTGGCCCAAGCGAAGGTAATGGTGTTTTGGTGGCTGCCCTTAAAAGTTAATTTTGTGGTCAACTTTCGACACTTGAATGAAATGCTTTTCTTAGCCTCACAAATGTTTTGAATGGTTTGTGCTTTGCGGTGAATATGTTGTGTAAACAAAGTAACTTTAATAAAAACCATTAAATAGATATACTCCTATATCACAAGACCAAATCGGTTCTTTAAGTTCATATTCACCTCAGCATTGTTTCTAATCTGAATCGAATACTTAGATAACTAAAAAAAAAATATCCATTAATGTCCGCATTAATGGACATAATAAATCAAAAGTTTACGGAAATACCAACAAACCGAAATCAATTAATCCAATTTGAGAATGGGCATAATTATAACCGAAATCAATCAGTTCGGCCAACGCGGAGAGTTAATTACCACAAAGTGGATAACTTTTATTGGGGAGTTAGCACATCTTTTTACATGACCCACTCCAGAATGAGCCACTTGATTGGGCCTAACAAATGGCTAATTTGAGCATCGTAAATCTTCATAAACGAAACGATGCAATTGCCCAGGTCAATCCAACTGTCTTCAGGTAGTCAAAACCTATTTAACCCGCCAATTTGCACTCTTGCCCCAAAATGACGATGTGGCCTGCACAGTTCCTGTAGTCATCGCTCAAACGGTCGCAAGTTGCAACATTTCAAGAAGCCACAACCCACCGGCAGCCGTTCGTCCGCTTGTCCAATAATTATGAACCTTCTTGGCTGTTGGCGGCAGTTTGTGTTTGAAATTATTCGCATAGTAGCCCCAGCATCGTGGCAACAACAATTGGTAGTCAGTCAACTTAACGCGGTCTGCGAAACTAGCCAATTTCTGTTCGTTTCTGCCGGCTGAGTCGTGGCCAAAGTTTTTCTTTCCTTTTTCTAGCTTTGTACAATTTGTAAATCGAAGACGAACTACAGGGAGAAGGAAGGAAAAGTGTTATGGGAGTGACTGTGTCGAATAGGTGTTACCCTAACTCCCGACTTACTTCAATACAAATTTTAATCACGAAATCTTAAAGGCAATTCACTTCAGAGGTGAAATTCCTCTTGATAATAAATCTTAATATTTTTTCTCCTCTTTTCTATAGGGAATTTTTTCCTTAAGGGTTAAGTTACTGAAAATCTTTTAAATAACTGAAATATAATGTTAAATACCTTAATCAATGCTTAAACTTAAAATACTTTTATAGTTTAAATAGCATTAACCCTTTCATGCCCAAATTAATCTGGGGACACATAGAAAATATTTAACGCCATAAATGATTAATAGGAACCCCAAGTAACGTTCATATCGATTTTCGATACTCTAAGTCCTTTGGTATGTCCTTACTGCAATGTTGCCTTTAGGCCTTTAAAAAAATCCACACTCTTTATAAACCAATTTTCAAGCCCAACTTTATACTTTTATCATAGTCTTACCTGTTTTAAAGATATGTACGTACTTATTTTATTAGTATTTGTCACTAATTTTAGTTAATCGCACTATTTGCACGGACACTTTTTGGTAAAATTTTTCGGCAGCTGTGGTCGCTTCGAATCATAAGTGATAACTCAGCACACGCTGCAGCTGCATTCGCCAAAATTACCAAAAATTAAACAACATTAATAAGGGGAATCGCCTATAAAAAAAAATCCACAAAAATTTTGAATCGTAACCGATTTAAACTTCAAAAAGTCAATGTTGCCTGTAGGCAACAGTGGGCATGAAAGGGTTAATAAAAATACAAAACTATGCATGGATATCCCAAGTTAAGGTACCCTTTTCAGGGTATAAAAGTAGGATTTACTGCATTGCATGCAGCACCCCCAGGAAATTATCTTGTCAATGGCTGCGCTTCAATTGCAGTCCGGCTTTTGTTGGGCTTGGGCTTTGGCTTGGGCTTGGGCTTGGGCTCCGTTTTGGGGCCTGGGCCAGCTCCTCCGCATCTGAGTCTGGCTGAGATGGACAGTAGCCCGGACCTGGCTGGCAGTTCCCTTTTTTTTGGAAGCTCGTTTTGAGGTGTGTTCCTGCAAAGCGCATGATCCCAACCATATTTCTTCTTCATTTGCTGGCATAATTTACATATGGTTATATAAGTTTAACCCGAGGAGGTAACGGGGGCAACGTATCCGTTGCAAAACCCAGCTCCAACAGATGCGGCATGTTTTATTTAATTGCCGGCAAGTCATACCAAGAAAAACGACAGTGAGAGAGAGCCCGAAATCGAGTACACATGTAACAGTTAACATCGATTCCGACCAACTAACCATCTATTCATCCATCCATCCATCCTCGTGCAATTGGCGATTTGTGTAGGGCAGACGCTTTTGTCTTTTGTTCGTGGTCAGTGGATGCGTATTGGTTTGCTAACGTGTTTCCCCTTTCAAGAGTCGCAGCATGTGGCCCAAAAGTGGTTATTGATGGTGAGATCTGATCCGAGCAACCATCATTAAATAAAGCTAATCATTTGTCATTGCTTCTGAAGAAATTAAGTACATAACAAGAATAAATCTTTAAAATTTATTGGTTTGTTTCGAAGTAATGTCTCCAAGAAGACGTGAAAGAAGCGATCGATTTGGCCTATTATATCACCTGCAGAACAATGTTTTCTAGCAGGTTCAACTGTGTGCCCGAACACTCCCATTTCTTTGGCCCAGAGACCGGCTTCAGCCGGCAACAGAACAATGGTTATAAATAAATCTGTGTCACTGGCAGAACCCAGAACCCAGAACCCAGCCAAAAACAATAGATAAACAAACAGAAAGAACGTTAAATAAATACACCTCAAATCATTCAAGATTATGCAATTTATAGCAGTAAATGAAAATATCAAACACGCAAGCGAAAGATTCAATACAAAAGACTTGGACGGCAAACTTGTTTTGGTTCTAAGCGTAGAACGAGTTTGGGAGACTCCCGACGAAACTTTCCCAGCGTCGGAAGACTTTTTTGGCCGAACTGTAAATCGGTTGGCATGCATACTGTAATAGTGTCATTTTGTCTTGGCCCAGTCATCTGCCTAATTAACAGAGCTTCATAAATATTCAAGCAAATCGTAGATAAGAACTTCTGCCAGTCGCTCTAAAGCCCCAGAGTTGCACGTTCTGTTCGTGTTGTGCCGCCATTAAGGCTCCGGCTTTAAGCCTTTGGTTCTTTGGTTCTTTGCGTCTTGGCCAAAAACTGTTTTGAAATCACTCTCTATAAATATGGATTTCTCAAGAGCTCGCTGTCAGACTCTCACAGGGGCTTAGCTGACTAACAACCGATTATTTTAATTAAATTTTATTATAAAAGACAAAAGGCCCAACGCCCACATGCCAATGGCAAGGCGAGTGCCTAAAAATATGTATTTTTACTGCGGAGATTATGCAATTGTTTGCCTAACCAGCTGCTGCTGCTGTTCTATGCAAATGTTCCGAGCTTATCTTCCCCGCAATTACACAGCTGCAGTTATCAGCCAAGATGGCTAGAACAAGACTCGACCTCCGATGACCTCGGGAATGGAAGCCAACATAGTACAGTCCACGCCCCGCCCACGAATTTGCCCTTCAGGCCGCAACTGCAATTGTTCAGTTAGAGCGCGATAATGCAAACATTAGACACTTCGTTTCATTTGGTTTGTACGCCTTTCAATACCTCAATTAACCCATCATGGGCATGCGCAGCTTCTGTCTGCGGCTTTGTTTTGCGTTTGCGTTTGCTTCGGCCTTTGTTTTGCTTTGGCATCTTCGAGATGGCTATCGAGCCAACACTTACACGTCGATCTACCATTTCCGAGATCCGAGATAGCCGCCAGTGGCTCGGCTCGTTGTCTCGAGCCCAGAATTTGGGGTGCCATTGAGGAGTCGTGAATCAGTTAAAGTTCTTGCAAATAATTGAAAGGTTCCGCGACCGCGGCGTACTTGAGACAATTAACAATCCCCAAATAACTCCATTATAATCAGCTGTGATATAAGGAAGTATCACTTTAACCGTGCGATCTATTTTCAGTTCATCTTTGGACTCGTAAAATATTTTTAGAAAAGTTGTGGCCATAAATATATTTACAATCAAGTTTACCAAGTCCCTTTAATATTCAGTAATAAAGTTATTTTACAGACCACGAAATAGGAAATATATTTTTAGTAGCGTCGGAATTTATTACCAATCTTCCGGGTAATCACAAGTTTAAAAGTGTTATAAATAAAATTTAGTTGGTAGTCCAGAACTACCTTTAAATCGATTTAAATTAAAGATAGCCCTGTAGCTTGTGTACGGTGAAATCCATCAGTAAGCTTTTACCTGTCAGAAGTTATTTAAACGGAGATGGGGAGGAAATACTTTTTGCCTTTTAATTTTTATGTGTTCTAATTTAAGTTCAAGCTCTTTTTGGCCACCTAAAGCAAACATTTGGCAAAAGGGTCAAGAATTAAAAACATGTATACGAGGTAAGAATTAATTTTTGTAATTCCAGAACTTTCTTTAAATCGACATATGGCTTATGCACATCAATTGAAAAATCGGGAAACACGTGATGTTGTGGAGCTGCAATACTTGTGTCCAGTTTTCAAGGGGTTCTGTATAAATTATCTACAAAAGATTCGTTATGAATATCGGACCAAGAGTGTTAATCGGAAATCGGAGCTTACCTGCCAGATGTTGATGGGGATCCGAGATTATATGTTTGCTGGCAGATTCCTTTTCGATTTGATCACCACCCTCCTGGAATGGGAGTGGCTCGAATGGCTGATAGGTGGGAACGAGATCCAAGGGCTGCTGCTCCTGGTCGTCCTGGTTTTGGGGCCCAACCACTACTGCCTCCTTCTCGGCGTCTCCCAGCTGCTGGTGTTGCAACTTCTTCTGGCAGCTGAATAATCGAATCCACGTGTACGGACGGAAGTATTGCCGCTCCTGTTTGGGTGGCTCCTCGGCCGGCGATGCCTGCGAATCGATGACTATTTGATCCCGATGGTGGTGGAGACGGTGGTGCTGGTGGTTGTGCTTGTGGTGGCTTAGGAGGTGCTGCTGCTGCAGGCGGCTGACGTCCTCCACCACGAACAGGATACCTGCCACAATGAGCAGGGCCACCGAGAGCAGAACGAAGAAGCAGAGGAGGTCCTGCAGCAGGGTCTTCAGATTGCCGGAGCCACCCGATCGACTCTCCTTGGCGGGCGTCTGGCTCTCGGCCTTGGAAAGATCCATGATCAATGAATTTTGAACTGCCGAACCTTGCACAGAACTCTATTTTACTTCTACTTTGTACAAAATTTAGAAAACCAAATAATGTTGACTGATTCACCAACCATGTAGAATGAAGTGATTTCGTATGAACTTAGCTGAATTGGAAAAACATTGCCTACTGGCTTCGAAAAATATCTTTATTTTCTCGCAGAGACAACAACGTTTGTTGTCTTTCCTGAATTTCTCATGATAAGCCAAACTTTCCCAACATCTATGGCAATTGGTGTAATTGAAACTCTTTAACGGCAATCAACATGGCGTTTGATGTGATTGAATTATTGGACACTTAAATGGGCGGCCCTCAGCTCAATTCAGCAAGGCAACCAAGTCGAGGGGAATGTAAGAGTCTTTGGCGTTGCATTTTCCCATTTTCACACCTCGGGCACCGCTTTCCTCGGCTCCTTGGCCGCCATCCAAAGCTTCGGACCGTCGGCCCGGGGAAGCCCAACATATCACTCAGTGCTAATGAAGATGTTTCCCCCAAAACTGGAACCGAATCCGTGGCATCGCTGCCAGGCCTGGCAGTTCATTAGTCAGGAAGTGTTATACATGATGCAGTCGACTGCGCGGCCATGCATGTTAGGGAAATAGAGGCTCTGACTTGATTATATAGACACTAAAAAGGGGAAGTCAGGTCAGAGGTGTTATATAAAAGGAGTTGTTAGTGACTTACTAATTCTCAAAAATGACTGAGATTTGGTAAAGCCTTTATAAAAGGATTATATATGCCATTCAAGACATATTTTCATTAGTAAGAAAACAAAAGGAAAACTTCAAAACAAAACTGAAAAATTAACAAGTTGTTGATAGTATTTCCAACCTTATTTATTAACTCCTGACATCACACCTTCTATTTCTTTTAAGGAAGTTAAGCATGGGAGCTTCGCCTGCAAGAAAAACCAAGAAATCCGATTTCCGTAAATCGTTTTCAATCAGCTGGCTAAAATCAATTAAAAGGCAATGGCAAATGCTTAGTTATACAATCAGAGTTGTAAATTGTAAATGCCCCCACTGTGTGACGCTCGGCAACTGATAAGGCCACCTTCCCCTGGAGCCGAGGAAACCCAAAGCACAACAATGGCAGCGGAGACATTACATAACCTCCAGATGCCAGGGCAGGCACAATAACCTACAAATGCAACCTCCACTAACCGACTGAACCCAGGCCCAAAAAAAAGAGAAGAAAACATGAAAAACACAAAACTAAACTGCTAAAAACCAACGTAATACAGTTTGCAGCTTCTAAAGAAAATAGAGAAACAGAAAAAAACAAAACCCGAGCGGGAAAATCATTGGGTCGACGAGTTGTGTGTGGGAAATTGCGACAACGACAAATAAATTACAGCAACGCTTAAGGTCAAGCGATTTGTGCAGAAATGAGGCATATAGAAAACTTATTGCAGCGATCGCTGCCTTTCTGATAACCAAAGAAATGAATAGTCCCTCGACTGCTAACTGCCTAGCCGACAAACAGTGATGCTAAATAGCAAGTTAGTTAAAAGAATATAAAGTGTTAAGTTAGGTACTTCCGATGGAGCTTAGTACAGCATACAGTATTCCCTATTGAGTCTAGATTTTTGGTATAATGACGGTTTAGAAGTGCTGATAAATATTTGATTTCTTATTTACTTTTCGTTGTTATTTAATATTCATTTATTATAGGTACTGTCAAAAAAGTACCTTAGTCATCGCTTCTACCGAATGCCAGTCTGCTAGACTGCCGACGAATCGTGGCTACCTCAATTGCTGCGGGGTCAAATGGCGTTGAGGTAACGAGGCGAGCTAAATCATCGACTTCGACTGGGAGTCAACACGTGCAGAGTGTTCCGAGCCCGGGGCTTCAGACCTAGGTTGCCGATCTCCAGCTCTGGAGTCGCGCTGCCCCGCCAGAATTGATTGCCACTTGGGAAGGCCACTTCGGTTGCTTTTCCAGCGCTCGTACATATAAATCAAAAGAATTCTTTCAAATTGCAGTGATTTAAGTGCCGAGGAAGGCCCAAACGCTTCTCTGACATTAGCCATCTAGCCAGGGAGCGCCCAAGTCTGGGTTAAGCCAAGGTGTCAATTTGGCGTGTGAGGCGTTGTGGGGTGGCATTCGGTAGTTGGCGATCAATTAAATTCGCATTAGTAGCTCGACTTTACCGCGCCATCTCCAGAAATGATCACTAAGTGCGATCTGCCTAAATTATGGCATTAAGGCTTTCTGGGAACGTATACTAAATAAATCATTAGCTGAAATTAATATTAAAATAAAATAAGTTGCGCATTCATGGCTATCAAGAGAACTTAGTTATTTAGATATGGCAATTTTACTCACTGAAACATTACTTCTATATCTAGATTTTTATGAAGGAATTGCATTTTTAAATTGAACAGCATAAAAATCCTTCATTAAGGCACAGGTAAAACCTACGTATTTTTTAAAGCCCCTTACGATTCTTTCATAATCCACTTTTAAATCTCAAAACCCATTAAAACCTATTTGCTAATTGTTGGGATATTCCTAGGATTTGGGCTTAACCCCTAAGAGAGCGGGTAACAAAAACCCAAAATTGCCCTTTCGATGAGGTGAATGCCTGGCCAGTTTCATAACCCATTTCGATGGGTTGTAACTAGCAGCAAGTTTAAGCCATCGTCTTCGTGTCTTCATGTCTTCATTTCACCCACCGTCACCACAAGATTGTGTTAAAATTTTATTTTTGCATAATTGAAAAAATTTAACGACTTTAGCCAAACAAATTTTACGTTAACTGTGCGCATTTTGTAATTTCGCTCGCGTGCACATTTCGTTTACCGCACCGACCTGACCCATTCCTTGTCGAAAAAGGCAGAAAAAAGCAGCGATCCAAAAGCCAAGAAAAGCTAAAACATTATTACAACAAGCAGCGTGATTTCCGGAAGTTGAAGCGCACAAAAGGCGCCTGCGCCTGCGCAAATGTCGTCGTCGTTGCTGTCGAATTGATCGTTTCTGTTGCTGTTGCTGTTGCTGTTGCATTTACTGCTGCAGTTGCAGTTGCAGTTACTGTGGCAGTTGCTGCGAATAAGCCAAAGAAAGTCGTGCTGCAACAGCTGCCACGGCAGCTCGGCAAACTGGCCGTCCTGCCTTCGTGCGAATAATGTCGTTTGTGTTTGTTTTATAACCAAATTTACAACAACTTGCCACCGTCAACGGCAGCATTCACAACGCCACTGGAGCAGCCAACATAATTGCTCCAATCCATGTCAATCTTGTCAACGGCCCATTTATTAGAACCTTTCTTATGTGCCTTGAGAGAACTTTCACAACATTTAACTGAACAGACTACTCATTAAAAGCAGTGTGTTATACTTCTATAGCTGACAAATAAAAGCAATTCCTTGGAGTTAGCCCTATTTAATCAGTAAGCATTTTAATGAGGCTCTTAAAACTTTGGGAAGTTAAAATATGCAAATCTGTATTAAATAGATTTTTTTGAATAACTTTTCCCCCGTTTAACTTAAAGCACGCCGTTCTCTAACTTTCCCCAATTACTTTCACCAAAGAGTAGAAGTCTTCTAATCAATCGTGTCAGAAAAACTTTTACTTAACTTTTACCTTCGCAATAAGAACCAGACAAAATCAACGCCTCAGGGTCAGAAGTTATGTAATCTTTGAGGCACCACAGCATTGCGTCATTCGCAGCTTTTTATTTTTTGGAAAAAGTTAATTCCTTATTAATAGGTTTTCTTCTCTGACTACGTGATTGGTGGCCACACGGCCTTACATAATAATTATAGAAATAAAGCTGTCGTGGCTAACATAAATTAGCATTATAGAAAATAGAAAGGTGTTCCCTTCTTTGTCGGCCCCAAATGATGGCCAAATGGTGTTTTTGCCCTCACATCCTATCCACACACTTGACCATTCTTTGAGCTGCTGAAGATCGTGGCTAATTTTATGCCAGCTCTCGTTGGATTTCATAAATCTTCGCTGTGGCGAAATTTCGTCCAAGTGGCGGTGGCATTAAATTAATGTTCTAACATAAATTTATAATTCATGTTTAAAGGCCAGGCCAAGACTTCTGTAAAAAATGATGGCTTTGTCTAGGCAACCGCCAGTTGAGGTTGATTTAATGACCTTTTTATGTTAAGATGCTGATGCCGATGCCAATGCTGGCGTATACACAGGTACTCTTATTAATTATTTTATTGGCAGACGTTTTATAAATGCTTCTCAGACAGGAAGCGCTAATTAAAGTGGGTTTTTTTTTTACAATTCTTTCTGGTTTAATTAATTTTGTCAAGCGTTTATAAATGGCTGTTTAATTCTTGATCCTTATGCAATTACTTATAATTTACAAGGCCACTTCTATTGTTTGAATGTCTTATTTGGACAGTCACAAATAATTCGTGTGCAGCTCTTCAGCATTGATGTCTTGATATTTGAATACATTTATCTCGGCTCAGCTTCACGCACTTCACTCGCCACTTGACCTTTCAATTAATCACGGCTAACACCGGAGTGTGAGTTTTCTTGCTTTATTCAGGTAGCTTCGGCTGTCAGCCGCCCTATCAGACATGTTTTCCATTTGCCGCCTTATTTACCATAAAGTTTTCACACCGCCAGTCAGGTTTTTTGGAAGTGAGCCAAAGTGTATGAATATTTTAGTATTTAAAGCCACGTTCGAAATGCAAATAGTGTTGTGCATATATTAAGGTTTTTATTTTGGTTAAAGTTCAATCAACTTGGACACAAACTATTTTAGTTTGCAGAACAGGCAGTTATGTAAACGCCTCGAAAAAGAACCAAATCATTCAATCGGACCCTTCACCCATCCGATTGTATAATATTCGCGTACAAAAGAAATGCGGAATTCGGTGAGCACGGCTCGCCATTCACAAAATTAGAGCATATAAACATTTAAACCAATTTTTCACAATTACTGAAATCGGCAGCCGAAAAACACAATAGAAACTCAACTAGAGCGAACAATAATGAATTCAATATTTGCAATGACACAATAAATAAATCGCGGAATAATTTCTCTCGCAATTGCGGCACTGTCATCCCGAAAAGTGTACTGTATGGTTATCAATGGAGATCAGTGGGTGAGTGGCACA